TTGTATTACCGCTTAACGAACATACGTTATCTGACGTGATTGAGGAGCCGAGGACGTAATAAAAATGTTTCTGTACGTACTCGGTTAGTGGAGAGATGATAGTAATGGCGGTAGCGTTCAAGTGTCATGGGAATCGGATCCGCCCTCTGTTCAAAATTTTACAGATGCGGCTATTAAAATTTCTATCACCTCACATATTTTAATGGATATCTTATTATATACTAGCTTTGCAATGCATAGGAGATGATGTAAAAAGTATCGGAGATTTGACATAGTCAACATTCAGACGGTCATCCTAATTTTGACAGTATTTCCCAACAAAATGTTCATGTCTTTATCAGTTTTATAGGAAAAAGAATCTACTCTTCTTCACAATTAACAGATATCAATTGTTTACAACTTCTGGATTTTAATTTAAAATAAGGAAAACCTCCTAGCAATCTACATCGTAACCAGTCTGAAAAAATCTATGCACCGAGGTCTATACAAATTACACGTCGTTGTAGAGATCGGTCGCTCGGGGCTAACGTCTTGGCTGTCTCGGCCGTCTCACACGTGTCCCTGATTGCCCCCAATTGGCGAGCGAATAAAAACAATCGTCGCTTAAAAATAGCCGTGATTTCATACAACACGTGATGGATGTTAGCTTTCGGAAGGGTTCCCACAGCCTGGGCCATGTGAAATGCCCTGCTGCCGACATCCCAGGCGACGCCTCACTGTGATACTAATGGAATTAATGAAGAACTGCTGTTTCGGATTTTAATAGACGTTGTTTGTAGATTTTTTACAAGTCTATTCATTACTTGGAAATCCCAACTAGTCATAGATAATTATTATAAGTGTTAGCTTGAATAGTTTCTTACATTGTTAACTTTTAAATAAAATCAGAACAACAATGACTTTAAAGAGAATATATAGATAATTAAAAGAAACTAATCACAAATAGAACATCCATATAATAATTATCGATAAAAAATTACAAATCATTATGACCCATATTTCATGCTTGGTTTCACTAAAATAATAAAGCTACCGTGTTCCACAATGTTTGACCATAAGGCGCGATTGAGGTCAATCAGTATCCTATTTTTTTTGTAAAGATGGAACAAGGAACAGGATCTTCCGGAGCTGTACCACGCTCCATTGAGCGCGCTGACCATATGGTGAGCATCGCGACCATCGGCTTTATCACCATGTGATAGCCACATCCGCCACGCTTCACTCACAATCACATGTAGGTCGCACTCAGGAAATAAAAACCGCGAACTATTTTTCCCATGAAGTGTTTTTAGAATATGGTGATTTATCACAAAAGAAACAACTTTTGTTGTATCAGTTATCGCATGTGATGAGAAATCACAGACCGTGACGCAGAGTTTTTTTTTAACTGAATAATGCAGTTGACCTTGTTCCGTGAATTTTATTTCGAGCGATCTAGGTAGTAAATTAGATGAAAGTCTTATCAGTTCTTTGGGAAAAATTCTTCCACTTGATTTTACTTTACTTTTCATAGCGATGCGGCGGCGCCATGCTGGAAAGTAATTTTAAACTCGCGTCTTTTACATCAGTGATTTTTTTCTGTTCCGCAGAGTTGACAACGTAGTTACGCACATCCGTTATGCAGCCACAATGCCAATGCGTGGGGCAATTTAATTACTCAATTAATTCCATTAAATGACGTTCTGCATGGAATTTTAAAAAAAAACTTTATTAATATATTTCAAGGACACGACTGACTTTTTATATTGATTAGATTCCAGATAAAATAGTTATTCGTTTATTTCTATACGGGAATTGTGATAGTAAAAAATAATAAAAACAAAAACACTAATTGGTCGAAATAATTTGTGAACCATAAAAGGGTCAACATAAGTGCATCAATCCAGTCGCAGGCTTTCTTGAGGGCTGAGCCATTAGCTCAATCGGAAATGATATCGCTGATAAAAAACAGACGGCACACGTAATATCTAGCGAAGACCGGCCTAATGGTCGCTCACTCTCACAATCTACACAATTCTAGTAAATGCTAATTTATCTTGATGTGAAAAAATAAGCGTTTATCAGCTTTTCACACAGAATCCCTTTGCCCTGGGTTTTTCGATAAACACAAAATAGTGTTTAAATAAGGAATCCGATCTAATCAATCATTAGGTCCAAATGTGTGTAGCATAGCGTAAATTGACGCAGTTAAATTACGAATTTCGGCAGTTAATCTCGAAATCGAAACCCTTTTGTGTCAACATAAATCCGATGCATGGCTATTAAGAAAGTACAACAAAGAAGTACCATAAAGACATTAAAGCGTCCCAAATACGTGCGTTATTTGAGCATCAATCTGAGCGCATATCGTGCGAACGCATTATAATAGGAGGATATTATAATAAACAGATCCCGGGCCCCTCGCGCTCCCTCCCTAATAAATATTAATGTATGAACTTGAATGCCCCACAATGCCCGACAGCCGATGCTGGTACATTGACACTCAATTTGCTTTTTTGCCAGCCCCGCCGCTATCTCGGCCGAGTTATCTTTGTTCTTACTTTCACGTACGCTATTCTTGATTAGCATTATTAAACTCTTGTGTAGTAAATAAAGCTATAAAGAGAGCAATGTTATAACAATTTATATAAACAGAGACTTATATAATTGTAAAAACTTTCGTTTAGATACTATTGGCTAATCGTAATTCTTGTATCTCGAACCTAACTAAAAGTGTAATTTGATCTAAATCAGTTTTACAACAAATGAATTGTAAATACATACAAACAAATTAATGAGAGCAATTAAATGGTACCAAACAAGACCGTCTCAAATGCTTGTCTAATTAATTATATCCATTAAACTGATGATTGATGACTGAATCGGAAGTGGGCGGAAGGGTCACGTGCAAACAGCAAGGGATGACGAGAAAAGTTCCCTATCGACTTTCCCACGCCACCCCACGGTCAAGGGGAAACCCCACTTGTTGGTTTTGTACTGTGATCGACCCCCTTGTGCCGTTTCCGGACCAATGCTAATAACAATTGCGTCAAGTTCTGACACCCCGCCGCACGTCACGCATTTATCAATGAATAGATAACATTCTATTGTTGATTTTCATGTTAAAAATGTTTTTCTGTTTACATTCCTTTTTTTTAACTTTTCAATACAATAATACAAACATTTGGGAAACATGTTCGTACAGAGTTTCATCTCATTTTTAAGTCCACAACAAACTTTTTAATTTGAAACCTTTCTTGTGAAATATTAAATTTCTGTTGTATTTAGCACGAAATAACTAGTTAAAAATGAAAAAACCAGCAGTCAGAATGTTTCTAGTGGTTCCTTAAGTTGTTCCTTAATGTAGGTTTTACTCTGAAGTATATAGATGAATTTAGATGCAACCATTAGAGCTTGCGCACACCTTTGACTAAACTATCGCACAACTATTTAGTCGCGGTTTTTTTCTATGAGCTTATATGGAGGTGCTCATACTACTCGATTTTTAGTTGTTAGATCAACAATTGAATTGGTGCAAAACAATCGACAATCGCACAACAGTTATGCGATAGTTTAGTCATAGTGTACTCCCGCTCTTAGGCGCCAGTTAAATTCAAAACAAATGAAGTATAACGATCTGAATCGTATTTAATGAATACTAATGATGGTTGTCTTTAAAATGTCTATCAGAGTGGGACGTAAATGACGCACAATAGATCGTGGCCCGTGGACAAAGACCGGTGCAGTGGGCGGACCTGATATTCAAAGCGGGGACCTCTTTCAATGCAATGCTCCGGTTTTTACTAAGACGTACTATACTCTGTTTCAAACGAAAACATAAAGTTTGTAATCACAATAACGCTAAAATTTATAAGTTATTTACAGCGCATAGGAAGCTAAATTTCAACGGGGAAAACTATGATTTCACTATCTGAATATTACATGAATAAAATCTACAGTAATATAACAGAAAAACCTATAGAATTATCATATTTCGTATTAATATTATAAATGCGAAAGTTTAGATAGATGGATGGATGTTTGTTAGACTTTATAGCCTAAACTGCTTAACGGATCTCAATGAAATTTGGCAGATATGTAGAGGATAGTCTGGAAAAACAAGTAGGCTTACTCACTTTTGTTTTTTTTATACACTCGGACGGAGTCGCGGGCGACAGCTAGTAATTTATAATACTATTATTTTCAAAGACACGACCTTCAATTTTTCTAAAGTCTGTTCAACTATCAGTCTATCAGTTGAACAGACCAATAATTAATATTTAATAAACACCACAATATCGTGCAATAAAGGCTTTAAATCATGCAGCTGCATTAGCATTGAATCACGACGATGTTTATCATTCTTTAAATACTTACCTTACACATTATCTGAATATTAATAAAGGAAAAAACAATTCGATGTTAATTTTAAACATGCAATATAAAATGTTAGCCGAGTCTGAAGGACTTTGCCTCAGGGTGAATTGACTTGTTTTTAATATTTTTTGATAAATGCAGATGTTTAAATTGCCCAGAATAGTCGGAACGTGTGCTATAATTTAGCAAATTGACTATTAGTCGCGACGAGATATGATACTTTAGGTTATTATAATTTTATGAATCATGAATGCTGACTATTTTTGTATCCTGTAATAAAAACTTAGGTACACAGTTTTTATTTAAAATGTGAATTATAGGTAATAAAGATCATGTATGAAAGAATGTTTTAAGTTAGTTTAGTTTGTTTAGATATAAAGAAAAGTAATTTCAACTGGAAAGCTGAAAATAATAACAAACTCCAAACTATTCTTGTTTAATAATGTAAGTATCGCGGTATTGATTTAAATAACGATTTTGAAATACACCGTTTTATGTTAGAAAGCACAACATAATCTAAATAGTGATTTTTTATTTACTTTTTAAAACATTTAAATGTGGGTAAACAGCAGTACTTGTGACGAGTTTAAGGCGTTAATTGCGTTATGCATATTTATAAAATCAAACAATAGGCCAGTACATACCTGCCAGTCCAGTCGCACTGATCACTAATAATCCCCGCCTCTGCAACGTTTATCATACCCAAAACAAGACAAAAGTTCACAACAGTCTTCGTATTCGTACGCATCTTAAATATATTTTTTAAACAGTCAATAAAACTAAATTACACTGTCCTAATACGACCACATCACTATTTCCAAAGTTTTCATTTTACCTAAGCTCCATTATAATTTTGTATACAAAAGTTTTGAGTTGACACAAAAATAAACAACACGTATCGGAATGGCGCGAACGACAACCCTACTCAAACTTCAAAATCGTACTGACGTGAAGGAAGAAATCAAAGATAGAATGAAAGAGACAGAGTCCGCCTTTTAGCGCCCATAAGAAAAACAATAAGAGCGAGAGAGATAGGTAACACTACAAAGAGGAGACGATCGGCAATATATTGTTGTCTCTTGTGTTCCATTTTTTTAGCACAAGCAAAAATATTCCTTATGGTAAGGTAATAAAGTATATGAAATAAAACATCGAAAGCTTTACAAAAGCTTGTTGAAAAGGCGGGAAAGGTTTGCAAATGCTCGTGGTTTTCTTTACTTGAAATCGACAGTTTACCATATACGAGGGAGTTCGTTTTTTTCTTACTTTCTACATAACTCAATAATTTCTCTGAAGCTTATTGCTTTTCTGTCCTCATCATGTTTATTAAAAAACAGACTTCAACATTAATGTGACATATTAAGTTATTGTTAAGTAGCATCTAAGTAGTTGAAAGTCTTATAAGATACCGCGTCTGAGATAAACTAAGAAATGTGATTAAAGATCGTAAGGCATTAGTGTTAATGACCTACAATATTTTAAGTAATTAGGTACAAAGAGAACATTTAACACATCAGGAACACTTTCTCTACTTTGGTTAATTAAGAATATTGTTATGTCATAAGTTCTACATTTGTTGTCAATAAGTAATTATTATAAAATAAATTTTACTTCAGTTAGCGAGGGGCGGGAAAGTATTTTTACATTTAAACTAAAAAAACTTTTTCTAAAACTCACCGCCGAATTACCTCTCCAAAGTAATAATTACCCATCCCTACTTTTTTCTCCATGACGTGGCACATCCCTAAACCCGTAGAAGGTATTTCGAACTAACTAAAGACTTAATAGATGAATTTGTGAGCTTTAGGGTATCGTTATATAATATCAGTAATTATCTTTGAATGATGTGTTTTTTTTAATAGCTTGTTTAAATTTGTATTGCCATTTTTTTGTAATAGACATTTAAAAGATAAATAACAATACAATATTATTCATTAAATTATTATTACTCTCATAGATTAGGAGCAAAAGTGTATGTACATATTCACGAAATCAACGGGAACAAAACGCTTTATTTATTTCTGACATCAACTTTACGAATTGTAATGATTCTGTAGTTAGTACTATTAACTATGAAACAATGGTTTATTTCTTTAAATTTTTAAACAATAGTTACCTGATTTTAAGTTAGTATCACTCATACGATCTTACGTGCGGCCAACGGCCATATTTGTATAGATAAGCTGAATCAATAGGCCTTGTTTGCGGGTCTCTAGATAGCTGCTTTGTCGCTTTGTCGCGTGCTTACACAGGCTCTGATTCGACTCCTTATCTCTTCGTCGCAACTTGACTCATGTTGTATTTAACCGGAAAAAAGTTGATTATTAATTTCGTGAATTACATTTGTTGTTGTATGTATATCGTTAGTGGTGAACCTCGGTTGAAATGCCCTTAGAGAACGACACATTCGATTAGCCATGTCCCATGTATGGTGTATGAAATATTAAAAAATAGAACAGGGTAGTTAGCTATTATAATCTAGTTTTATTTATACCTAATGGGTTACGTAACTTTTCAGACTATAGAATTGACTTATCGAAGGTTTTTGTCAGTTTTATGATTTTTTCTGTAGGTATGAGCTTAATCGTTAATGAAGTGTTACTTAGTCCAAGGAATACAGCTATCGATACCTAGTGAAATTTTAAGTATTCCCACATCCGCTGATAAAGATAGATTAATCATAACAATGTTCTTAAAAGAAAATTATATTTAATCATAACTACATCCTGTCGACAGATGTATAAACAATAATATTATGTTTCACGCTAAATCGTCGGCGCACTATGAAACAATTTTAATGTTGTCATAGCATAATGATATCAGACACCGAATAATCTATTGTGTAAATTTTAAAACAAAACCTTAGTCTAATTTTAGTAAGTGGCAATGTTTTTGCTTTTTGTCGGATTGTCCTAAATTTATAGCTGTTCTAATGTAGAATTTAATTTAAGATACTTTAAAAAATTAGATAATACAGTTTAGTAATAAACATAGACTTAACAATTAATAGATAAACTGTCCAAATACTTTTACACTTTTACAATTGAAGGAAGAAAATGAGAAAAACCAGATTACTCGAATCTGTGACTGTGACCAACACTCCTCTTCGACAAGAGTAAATAAAGTCCGGGATATATCATAGTTTATGGATGCCTTCTAAAATTTGGGCCTCATTGAATCTATAGTTAATTATAAACATATCTAACTAAAACAAAGTTTATATAAATGGGCCATGACACCTTTGTTCTTAATTCTTGTAAGACTTTGGCTAACAGTAGGCTGACTTACAATGTTAAAAGAAATCTTTTTAAATATCGTTTGTATAAATATCGCAATGTCTTTATCGATAACCAATCACCTTATGAACAACTGCATATGGTATAACAATACATGTAAGTAATTTTATTTTTAAATCGTTAAGAATTGAAAACGACTTATCAAATTAAAAAAATACTCAAAAATGGTACATATTTTATGTATTTTAAGGTGTTGAAGATTGTCCAGAATGGATGGTGTTGGTCAGAAGTAACTGCAAAGATGTCTTCTGGTTACAACAACGGACGTGCGATCATCCCGAATCAGCGCTGGAAGGTGTCACTTGTGGTTTCTCGAGGTGCGATTGTCCTGAGCCAATGGTGCTGGATACTACTTCCTTTAATTGCTACGATGCTGACAACTGCCCCACTATAATTGAAATAGATACGTAAAGACGGTAAGGTCGTTTAAGTTGAGATACGTTTAAATGCGGTTACTGATTGACAGTATTGTATAAAAAATTTTAAGTATGAAAATTTGTATTGCTGCTCGCTATGCACCATCAGTTTTATTTGTACAGTTAAAACTTAAGGTATGTTGCGAGCTTTATAGAGGTTGATTATTTATGTATTTTTTTATGATGCGGAATCAATATCAAGGCAGAAAAATAAATTGCTAGACCAACACCGGCTTCGAATAGGTCAAGGTATTTTTAAGTTACGATAAAGTGATTTTTGATCCTATAGTTCATTATTATTTCAATCGCTCGTTTTAAATCACAGTGAGTTTTAATAGCATTGTAAATGATGCCAATAGTATTAAAAGTTGTGTTTTAATTATTTATATTAAAAATGAAAGTGAATGTAAGTAATAGATATGTATTTTAAAAAGATAATTAACATGGTTAGAAATTAAATATGTCTTATTTTTGGCTCAACGGTGCACTATGGCATAGACAGCTTGAGAAAAATTTGACATTGACAATGACATATTACCTGACAGTTGAAACATTTGTGCGAATACGAATAAAAATATTGTGAATTATTGTAAAAAATAAATAATTTTAACTGAAAACAAGTATATTATTATACTAACTATGTTACGACTTTGCTATCGTAATGTTGTATCACAACGGCAAACAATATCCTCGTTATCAGACTACAAAGAAATAGCGTCCGGCGTAAAATGTGTTACTGCAGTTCAAAAAATGATTGGAAGACATTATTCAAAGAAATTAAACGAAGATAACAAATTAGAACGAATATACTATGGACCGTTAACTCCACAAATTAAGGCTGTTAAGATATTTTCACTGTCTTCTAGCGCGGCTGGTCTGGTGGCACAACCAATAATTTTACGAGAAGCGTCTACTATCGGGAGTACTTCTCTTCTAATAGCAATTTGTTCTGTCGTGGGCTTCTTTACATTTGTGACTCCATTATTATTGCATATCATTACCAAAAAATATGTGACGGAGGTATACTATAACCCAGAAACAAAGAGTTATACAGCAGTGACACTCAATTTCTTTCTCGTTCCAAAGAAGGTAAGTTAAATTTATTCTTTTTAGTCTTTTAAAAATAAGTTATTGTATGGTGAACGTTTCATTTACATATTTCATCTTGTTTAGTAAAGATGGTTTTGAAATTGTAATTGTGAATTAAATGAATCTCTAATCTCATTATTGTAGTGAACCTGATGAATATCAGAAAAATAAATCAAATATGCTAATTGAAAAAAACATGTAAAAATAAACAAGCAGTAATCATATTACTATGTTTTAGCTGGAGTTCAAAGCAGAGGATGTCATAGTCCCTGATATTCCGGGAATGTTCACAACAATGCAAGCAAAAGGAACATCCCTGTTCATTGAGGCCAGACATTTCAATGACCCGATGCAATATGCCAAAATAATGGGCTATGATAAACCTTTGGACTTCAAACTTGGCAATTTGGAGGAATCTGAAAGCAGTAATAAGTAGTTGGTAAAGTGATTGTTGATTGTATAGTTAGTTAATTAAATGTTATTCAAAAATATCCCTTGTTTCAATTATGTTAGGGTTCTAGTGGTAGCTAGTTTTCTCTTTTCATCGTGATAGCTGAATAGTAAAGTGCACACATATTTTTACAATAATAAGAAGGCAATAAGTTAATCCCGATGTATTGCTTACTTTTGCTATTAAAGTAATAAAATCTATCTATGGAGGAGCAAATACATTAAAAATTATTTGAGTGTTCTAAAAGTCCAAGTTATTAATTATTTAAGTTATTAATACCTTATCCAGAGCCAAAAAAGTACCTTGGGAGCACTTTAGTTGGAGTAAATTCTCTTAGGGCTGTCATATACAATACAAGATGACATTAAAAAACAATCTAAAAACATGTTAAAAATGTATGAGAAACTCTATCTTACTGATAAACATATTAATGCGAAAATTTAGATGGATGGATTTTTGTTAGAAGTCATCTCTAGAACTGTTCAGTGGATAACAATGAAATTTGCCACAGCTTAAAAAAATTGTAATAAAAATCATTAGTAATTTTTCTCAAAGATTTTTTTAACTAAAAAGACAGAAACAACATGTAATGTTAAAATATGTTTTATTTTTAAATCATCATTTTTACAATAAAATATAAATAATGGAAACATGCAATGTCAACATTAACACTCAAATGATTATAAACATTTTCAACAAAATGTTGACTAGACACAAAACATACATTAAATGGAATGTTACATGTTACTATAAAAAATAATAAAACACTAATTTAAAATTGTAACATTACAATCTAAAATATACTAACTATTTATATAACTGTAAATTGATGATAAAACAATGTTACCTAAAAAAAGGCAGAGATCATATCTATTTTATACATAAAATAGCAACTGATGTTATGAAGAAAAAGCTTTAAACAAATGAATTCCCATCTCATCTTAAAGATAAATTGAAGTGTTGAATAATTATTTAAATCTACTATTCCTATATTTTCCTTGTATTTTAGATCATCAAAAAATATTTAAAAAAAACATTAACAAACATTTTTTTCTTAAATAGAAGAAAACATTTTTCTTCTTTTATTTACATTAATCTTATGAATATGTTATATACAAATTTAAAAATATACAATTTACTTAACTGTAAATATGTCGACATTTTGATTTCAAGACAAAAATAAAAAGCCTATGTAAATATTATTAACATTTTATAAGGTAATTATTAAATTATTTAGATTTAAAATGTAGAATTATTAATACAAAATAATGTATAAAATTTAAAAAGCATTTTAAATATAAAATCAATTAACTTATTTACATAACATAGTTACATTATGATATAATAAAATTTTCTTATAGTTACCTAGTGATATAATTTACTTAACTATATTGCAAATAGTTTTACGACTGACAGTATTTTTTGCATAACTCTTGAAACCTAAGGGTCCGTTCACACAAACCAAAGCTGAGTTACTTTTTAATGGAAAATAAAATTGACCTTCATTCAATTGAAACAAGGTTTAATTTTACTTTACACGTATTATTAACGCTAGCTCTTGAAATTAAAAACCTTATTTCAATTGCTTAAAGCTCAATTTTATTTGCTATAAAAAATTTGCTTCGCTCTCCGGGTCTGTCTAATCTAAGAGCGCACACTTTTGACTTAACAATCGCACAACTGTTGTGTGATTGTCGATTGCTTCGCAGCCAATTCAACTATTTAGTTGCACTACTAAAAATCGAGTAGTGTGCACATCCATAGCTAATAGGAATCAAAGCGAGACGAAACAGTTGTGCCATAGTTTAGTCAAAGGTGTGCACACTTTAAGGCAGCGGTTTTATTCTTCTCTGGAATGTTAGATAGTTCTTAATTGACTTTTAATAAATCAATAGTTTGTCAAATACTGTAACGAATCTTAGATACTTCGCTTCGACAACTTGATATAGGTCAAAATTTTAAAATAATTAGTAGTTTAGGCTTGGCTTATCGCTGTTATATATTTAAATGTTATAACACTTGGGATGCGGGCAACGTATTTTTAAGTTTTTTGCAATCTACCACTGGAGGGCGGGTCACGTAAAAATACGTATTTAGTAGATTTGTGTTGGATCATAATAGTTTTCGATTTACTGCGATTTTTCTATGAAAACCAAACTTTCGCGCGATACAAGAATAAACGTCCGCTACACGCATAACTCTATGGCAAAATAATCCCGCATGCTAAGTGTTAATACGGCCGTATTTCTCATTTAACGTTAAAAAGCGGTTATATGTTATCATCTGAGGCACTGAGTTTGTCTGAGTCTAGTAAATTTTTCTATGTTGGTATTTTGGGCCTTTTGCTTCTAGCAGTTTTCTTAAGTTTTTGTCAGAGTCCAGTTAATTTCTCTACGTTGA